TGCGGTGTTACTGTGCTTCCTCTAGGGCCATTTAATTTTTACAACAATTCGACGGTTTTTATGTCTTTTCACACTCACATTTTGACGGGAAAGAGTGTCCGCAATATAGTTTTCTCTATCTGGATTTAAGTGGATATTTGCGTTATGTTCATCAATATACGCCTTTTATCTTTTAATTTTGGGTTTTGGTTCCCATTTGTGGCGGTCTGTGTATATGTTTATGTCATGTGTACCGTATAGATACTGCTGTAGCTTCCCTAGTGCGCAGACTATGGCCAATAACTCTCTATCATTGATAGTAATGTGTGTTTTACACTCTTTAAATGTTCTTGAAATTATAATGATGGCCTGCACTCTTGTGACAATACCGCACCAATACCGTACGCAGAAGCAGCCGTTGTTAGATCGAATGGCTTCCTGAAATCTAGGTATCAGATTAAAATATCTTGAAACTAAGATATTTCTCAGCGTCTCAAACGCATCTCGTTGTGGGACACCAACATCAATGGGAGTCTCTCTTGACTTGTGTTTGCTCATAGAGCCATTCCACCTTTCACAGTTTTGTCAATGACCTAGCGATTGCTGCAGTTTTTAAAAATATCACCTTAAGTAACTGGCCAAGCCCAAGACTGATCTGAGCACGAACAGGTATTTCGTTTCCGCGCATAATTATACGGCTTTTACTTTTTCATGGTCGGTTTTGGCGCCGCCCATGGTAACTAATAAGCCAAGGTATTCATTTTTGTTATTTTTTCTGGAGACTTTCGTGTTAGCGTCCCTCAGGCTCTTTAAAACCTAGTCTATTTGCTTCACAATATCCCTTTCATTCTCGAAGAATATTATAACGTTATCCACGAAAACGAAGCACGTTTTATTAATCTGTTCACGCAGCACGTCATCGATCATTCTTTGGAAGATACTTCCAGCATGCTTCAACCCGAAAGGTAGTCGGTAAATCGCATTGCCTCGTTAGAGGTCGAAAAGGCTATAATTCTACTCAAAATCATTTTTTAAAATTCCTTTTTAGCGGAAGGAGGTACCACTATGTCATCGACATGGGCTAAGCTTACGTTGTCACAGTCTTGGTACTTGAACATTTTGGGGGGGTTACTTTTCCTTTTTTCTCCACAATTGCGTAGGGTTTATATTTGGGTTTTGTCACTTTTAATAATAAGACAGTTTTTGTGCGTGTGATTCGCTTCACTCTTTTATTTCGACTATACTTGGTTTCAAAATATTGTAGCATGTACTGTGGTGAAGCTACTCTAGCAATACATATCGGGTAGCAACGGTGACGGCGGTTGGCAGCCAATCTTCACAAAATAATTCGGGAAGTATTCACCGAGGCTCCTCGTGGTTGAGTTAGCATGGCAGGGCGGGATCCTCTTGCTCCCTAGCTCTTTCGGGTGGGGGGGTTCTTTTTGCCATGTCTCGACCTGCATACACAATTTTATTTTAGGATCCCTACAGAATCTAAATTGAAGACCGATACTCCGAAGAAACAAAATCTCAAACAGGCATAACTTAACGAGCACTAAAAGTGCCAATACAATGGTGATAGCTTTCATTAGGGCACATATATTCCGTAGAGGCGAAGTCTTGGATGTAAGCTGACTCTCGCGTTCGATACCCTCCCAGCCATGATCTTCAGCGTTTAAGGTTTTGAAGATCCCAAAAAAAACATTCTTCTACGACATTATATCACCATGTCACCAGGAAAGAAAACTTAGCAATTCATATTCAAAATCCGTAATTAATATTTATTATAAACAAAAGCATTATTCAATGAAATTTAATCCTTCCGTTAGATAATCTGTATCTTAGTACAAGTGGCATTAATGATTCAACAATAATTCAGTAACTAAAACTAGTCAGTTAATATTTTTACAATGGCTCAAAAATTCTTCAAAAATAATTCATTTCATAAACTATTCAGTTAATATTTTTTCTTATTGCGCAAAATTAAAAAAATAAATCTCAAAATTTCGCTAAAGTGCATTTAATAATTATAGAATAAGGCTAGGCAATGAAAAGGAATGACATTAGTAACTTGAATTAAAGTGTAATCGGCAAAAGCAAAAAATGTATTATAATAGAGTCAATATCATTGTAGTTGATGGTTAATTATATGGTCGAAAAAAATATGGGCAACAGAAGGTTAAGCTCGAAGCGCATGGGCAAATCGGAGCGCAGCGCAACCAGCTGATCAGTGAATACAATTATACATATTTGTGTACATATATTTGATTCCGTTAAAAATCTTTTCTTTTATGTTGCTTCTGTTTCAGCTAATATTTGAGCGGGGTGTAGGTAGAATCAAAGATGATAAGCATTCACCAGACTGACACGGCCATAAACATATTGATCGGAGCTAAAGCGTAATGCGAAACAGAAAGTCGTAAAAAGCTCAGCAGGTGCGCATGTCAGCTTGGCTGTGCTTATCTGTGCCAAAATAAGAAAATATAATCAAAACAAAAGGTACAGACTTACATGTATTCCTCGATGAAAGGCCTTCCAGCGGAGAGTTTGCAGCAAATTTTATTTTTTTTCTTTCATTTGATTTCTTTTGTCTTCTGTGGGGCTTTAAATTGTTTTGATTATTTATTATGGCACAGGAGAATTTTTAAATTGTGAGTACTTAAAAGATACTCTCCGAAATTAAGTGGGAAAAATTAAAAAACATATAAAAAAAATTCAGAAATGACTTTGGACTCTACCCCAACAAGAAGGGGGATAAATTTACACTATTAATTCTTTCTATATATATAAAGATATACATATAGATGTAAATTTTGTTTTTTTTTTCACTGCACTTGCACGAGGTTTTTAGAGGGCCCTACTAAATGCACTTTGCGCAAACTTTTGGAAGTCTCTCACAAGATTTAATTAACTATTTTTTTACTAAAAACATTTAACAGCAATTTTCATGCATCTGCACGCTCCGGCCAACTTAATGGGCGATGTCATCTGGGCTTCTGATCAGCGGCGCGTCACTGGGGCCCAAAAGGCTACTCCCTCTTCCGGATTCCAGACTGTGGAAACGGCGCCTGCCCTTTCTTGCTGGCATGAGCAAGGAAATGGCAGCTGATCCGCAGTTGAGGCTGACGTCTATTTAATGGGGGCAGTAATGACATTGCCGTCCCAAGAAATTACAGTGCCGTCCAATGGGCACACGTGGCGGTTGCCTCAAAATAAGTGGGTTTTTATGTCAGAGACGGCGGCGGCAAGATTGATTCCTCCAAAAATTACTTTCGGCAGGCAGGCAAGAACTGGTTAAAACTGTGACCAGATCTTGGCACAAAGAAATATATGCCGGTGAGGTGCTGGTGGCCGGGTGGCGTAGCGAAAGGTTATCATCAAACGAACAAAAAAATTTATTTCGCCAATCGGTTACTTTTAGGGTTTTTCTTTTTTTTATTTTTTTGGTTTTTGGTTCAATTTAGTTGGAATTTAAATTAAACGAATTAAACGACTGATGCCCGAACTTGTTGCTTTTAGTTTAATATTTTGGTGGGGCTATGTCCGAACCGCCGTAGCCAGACCTTCGATGGTAAAGTAATTTTTGAAAAGAAGGGTTATATCCGGGACCTACAGGCTTATATAGGGTCTCAGAGCTTTTTTCTTTCCCGGATTAGATTGAAGATAGCTGCGCTGCCAACGTGCACGCAGGCGGTTTATAGCAGCGGCAGAATCATTCGCAGCTGACCATGACAGACAAAAGCTGATCGCTATAGCGTCGTTACACAAACGCAAGCTGTTAGGATCGCTTACGCGGTTTAATTTAAATAGGAAAACTGCGACCATTACACCACCCGATAATATCCTACCGTTAGACGGGTATATTAGCGGGAATTAGACTCTAATGTCCTTGGCATGAAAAGTACCAATTTCTTTTCCTTGCTGATTTTCAAGGGAATAAAAACAATTGCCGAGTTTCTTTTTGACACGGCATTTAATAAACTGGGGAGCCAGTTTAGCATTAAAATTGTGTGAGAATTTACTAAGCGCAAAATTTCGACAGAACACCTCCTGTCCTTCACGAAAAGAAACAGGCTTGCTGCGTAAATTATATTGAGCCGCATTGCGCTCATAGGCTTTCCTGATGTTTTTCTGAATATCTGTCCTTAGCAATGCCAAATGGTCAGACCGCAACAGGGGGACCAGCGGTTCTTCCAATAAGGACAACTCCTTCAATAATTTGTAATCGGTACCATGAGTGATCATATCCACCCCGAATAGGGCACGGTATGGAGAACACCCAATCGATTGGTGCAGAGCAGACCTTAAGGAGCATGAAATCCCTGTAATATGTTCATCCCAATGGGTCTGATCCTGTTTTAAATACGAGCGAATGGCGGCGAGTATTGAGCGGTTAACTCGTTCTGCAGCATTGCTCTGCGGTGAATATAGAGCTGTATACAGATGTTCAATGCCAAGTTCGGCTAAGAAGGCATTGAACTCACGAGCTTTGAACTGGGTGCCGTTGTCACTTATTATAGTTTGTGGCACACCAAAACAATGGAAAATTTGTTCAAGAAGAAATTTTTGTATCACAGCTGAGGTGAATTTCTTCAGGGGCTGCAACCAATGATATTTGCTAAAGTGATCTAAGACTATTAACAATCCCACATGACCGCTTTTGCTTCTAGGGTATGGCCCAAGCAGGTCAATATAAAGCCTTTGAAATGGTCTGCAAGTTGGGATGTGAGCACCCATAGGTGGCCGAAGGGTATAATTTGGAGCCTTAGTTTCTTTACATATCTCGCAATTTCGTATGTATTCACGTACATCTTTAACTAATCCTGGCCAGAACAAATGTCTGCGGATTTTCTCAATAGTTTTTTGCATGCCGGCGTGAGACGACGTTATGCTGTCATGGGCTTGCTTGAGCACATCGACTTTAAGTCGATCAGGCACCCATAGTTTCCACGAAGGACTTTCTTGTGTCGAGTCTCCTCTCGAATGTTCGGTGCGTACATACAAAAACTTATCAACGATTTTTATGTCCGGAAACTGAGTAAAATTTTGGGAAAATTTGTCTTTAATTTGTACATAGCTAGCGTCCATAAATGTATCGGACTCAAGATCTATTACAGGACCCATGTCTAATTGAGCGATTTCATTCTCAGGCAACCGAGACAAAGCGTCGGGAACAATGTGTTCTTTGCCTTTCCGATGGGAGACGGAAAATTTAAATTGTTGCAGTCTAAAAACCCATCGTGCCAGTCTACCCGATATATTTTGCTGGCGCATAAGCCATAGCAAACTAGAATGGTCGGTAACCACTTCAAATTCCTGGAGTTCCAAATAACATCGGAACTTTTCGATGGCTAATATGACTGCTAGGCATTCACGCTCGGTAACACTATAGTTTCGCTGCGCACGGCTTAATTTTTTTGACATGAAAGCTATCGGTTGTTCTTCATTATCTTCAGACATCTGTACTAAAACGGCGCCAATGCCAAAATCACTAGCGTCACAATGTAAGAAAAATTTCTTCTTAAAGTCAGCATTTTTTAAAACCGGCGAGGATGTTAGCACTGTTTTTAAGTTGTCCATTGCGGTCTGTGCTTCAGGGGTCCACTCAAACTTTTTCTTTGTCGATAATACGTCCGTTATGGGGCAAGTGAGATCGGAAAAGTTGCATATAAACCGACGATACCAACCGCAAACTCCTAGAAATCCTCGAACTTGCTTCAAGTTTTTTGGCGGCGGCCAATTTACAATACAAGCTACTTTTTCCGGATCTGTGCAAATACCTCCGCTACCAATCACGTAACCAAGATAATTGATACTTGTTACACAGAATTGACTTTTCGAAATATTTAAAGTCAAGTTGGCTTTTCTAAACTGCTCAGCGATACGAACCAATACCGCCAGATGTGAACTGAAATCCTCTGACACAATACACAGGTCATCTAAATAACCAAATACGCAATAGCGCAGGTCAGAAGGAATTATCTCGTCCATTAACCGACACATGGTAGACGGCGCGTTACAAAGGCCAAAGGGCATGACCTTAAACTGATATAGCGGTCTTCCGGGGACCGTAAAAGCAGTGAGAGGCTTTGAATCCTCGGAAAGTTCTATTTGCCAATAGGCGTCTTTCAAATCTAGTTTGGAAATTATATTCGCCTTAGGTAGCCGCGAAAAAATGCCATCGATGCTCGGCAGAGGATAAGCATCTTTTTTTGTGGCGTCATTCAGTCTTCGAGCATCCAGACAAAGGCGAACCTTGTTGGGCTTAAGGACGAGTCGCATAGGCGAGCTCCAGGCGCTTACCGACGGCTCAATAACTCCAAGCTGCAACATGCGATCAATTTCTGCATATAACAACTTTTCTACGGCCGGACTTACAGGATAGAATCTTTGTTTCACTGGACGTGCGTCTCCTATATCTATATGGTGTTGGATCAATGTTGTGCGGCCTAATCTATCAGCAGCGTTGGGGAACAACTGCTTTACTACGTGCAGCTGTTGCGTTTGCTGGCTATCTAAGGGGTATGCAATCGACTCTGTTTCCTGCTCTTTTTCCATTGATTTTAGCTCTACAGAATTTATAATGCTTGGCGCAAGCTCAAAGGCTCTCCAAAAATCATGACCCAAAATTAGATTTTGGTTTATAGAAGGAATCACATACAGTTTCAAGGACTTGGTAGCCGATTTATACTGCATTTTAACTTCAAGCACTCCGATGACTTTCTGACTATGGCCATCTGCTGTTCTGACATGCGATTTAATAGGCTTAAATTCCGGCATTGCGGTAAAATCTTGTTGCGCAAGCGTAGAACCTATACAGCTAATATTCGCGCCTGTATCCAATAGACCAAGCTCGGTAAAGGTTAAAAATGACACTTCGGCATAGCTGCGCATATCGGTGGGATTGCAAAAAACTGTCGAAACTAAAAGCTTGCTATGTTGCTTGATTTTTGAATAATAATTTTTCAAGCGCTGCGTACGCTGAGAAATACGGGGTTTTTCTTCATAAAAAATCTTATTTCGGACATGCAAATAATTAGCTAACCGTTCATGATACGGTAAAAATCGTAATTTAATAGTTTTAGCTATTTCTAAATTGTTGGGATGTGACTTTAAAGTCGGTGTAGGGACCAAGCTTTTTCTTCGGTCCACAGGTACAAAGTTCGTATGGGAATTAATTAGATTTTTGGGGGCATCCGACTGCTGCTGGATGCACCCTTCTGTTGGTTTTCCGAAGCTTTACGGATACAGTTTTGGCACTGGGGCTTATAAATGTTGGGTGCCCCGCATCCGTAACAAAATATACGGCGGTCAGCAAGGCAATTTTCCCACAGATGCCCTTGCTCTTCGCAGTTCCAACATTTAAGGTTGGTATGACATCTACGAATTGCTGCGATGTCAAAGTTTGTATCTTCTGAATTTTCTACCTCCGGTTCATTAAAAGACTCTTCTAGTCCATATACTTGGCGACGGCCAATAGTCCTGGATTTATTCATACCATCAGTGCGACAACTGAGCTCATGAACTAAATTCTCGTTCATTTGGACCAATCTACGTAGATGGCCAACTGAACTTATTGGCTGGTATAGCAGTTTATGTCGGGTTTCGGGTAATAAATTATTTTTTAAAATTTCGATTAACTCCTCCTCGTCAATTTTAATTGCAAATTTATCGATCAGTGACGCTACAGCGTCATGGAACGACACAAATGATTCCCCAGGGTTTTGCTTTCTAGCTCTTACCAGTTCTTTGCTCATAAAATCGGAGCGATAATCTTTGTACTGATGGCGAAGTGCAGTACAAAATTCAGTCCAGACTATGTGGTCTACCTGCTTGTGGTACCGCCAGTACCAGTCACGGGCTTTGCCTAAAAATAGCACATGTAAGTGCTTACAGAGACCCATAAAGTCGCTGTCTAAAGTTTCATCAGTCAATGTTTTGACTCTATATAGAAATTCTTCTACCCCTAATCCTTCGGTAGACCCATCAAAATGAAGATTCCATTTTTGCATGGTGTCAGCAATTTTTCCATTTCGGAATGACGAACTACTAGGCGACACCGGGATCGGGGTTGGCAACACTCTTGGAAAGGGTGGTGCTTGTATTTGCAGTGATGACATAACGCGAGTGATTGATTGTTCGATCATCTCCTGAATTATCCTATAGTCCACTCCCAGATTTTGGCGGGTATTATTGGACTGAGTGGGTCTTCCTCTTCTTCTTACACCAGGAGCTGGTCGTGCAGGAGCGATTTCAGGTGGATTCGTGCTATTGCTAGCGTCGAGTCCTGATTGTGGTACATCACTAACATCTAATAACCTTGCTGTTGGATTCTCGCCACTCTGGGTCGGACCAGGATTAAGCGATTTTGCTAGACTGCGCGTTACCGTTCTCCCTATGTTCGTAGGTGGAGGTGGAGCAGATTGTTTTCCTCTCGGCGAGCAATCTCCAACAACTAATTTAATTGAGGCTGGATCAATCACAGCACTACAACTGGGACATTTAGCATGGTTTACCAACCAACCTTCCAAGCAAAGTTTGTGGAAAACATGCCTACAAGGGGTGCAATAGCAAGACTGTGTATTGTCCATTACTAACTGGCATAGAACACAGTGGTTATCAGCTGTCTCTGACGACGGCTGTACATTTTGTGGGCTGCGTAAAGGCAACATGATTCATTCATATTTTCCTGATTCGTGACATTGGTTTGGTAACATAATAAAGTAGAAGTTATTTTTTTTTTTTTTTTTTTTTTTAATTACGAAATATAATCGCCTCAATGAAAGTAGGTAATTTATCTGGTTTATTGAAACTACTTTAGAAAGCGGTTTGTAACATTCAACATTTTAATCTAGTCAGAAATGTTCGGCAAGGATATGCAAAGCAGCATATGGCCAAGTTCCGGGCAACATTCTAACTATCTTTGATAGTATCGTTAATACAAAACCATTCAATCTAACTTTATAACTTTTGGCTCCACGAAGACTGAGATTTACTTAACCATCAACAAGCTATCAAGTAGCAATCAGTACTGATATCTTAGCAAAATATGCAGTATTCTAAAATTGCATTTGAAAGTATTTCTACCTAAGCAAACCTAATCTGTTGTTTCTCCAAAATTATAAGAAAGAAAACGAGCAAATGTATGGGACCGATTGTATAGCTGGTGTTAATAACTATAGTCGTGTTTATATATAGGCACTCAACAATATAGTAAGGTCAGATTCTCGGCATAATTCAAGCTCTGAATTGTAAGCATCGTAGTCCTAATTACTATTTTGTATACTACCAGTATCTGCGCATGCGGAAGATAGACTAAGCCAGTCTCATCGACGTCAGCGTGCGTGGACAATAATATAAAGACTCATTTTTTTTTTTATATATTCAACCTCGGGCCCCATGATTGGGCGCCAAAAATTTATGTAGCATGTACTGTGGTGAAGCTACTCTAGCAATACATATCGGGTAGCAACGGTGACGGCGGTTGGCAGCCAATCTTCACAAAATAATTCGGGAAGTATTCACCGAGGCTCCTCGTGGTTGAGTTAGCATGGCAGGGCGGGATCCTCTTGCTCCCTAGCTCTTTCGGGTGGGGGGGTTCTTTTTGCCATGTCTCGACCTGCATACACAATTTTATTTTAGGATCCCTACAGAATCTAAATTGAAGACCGATACTCCGAAGAAACAAAATCTCAAACAGGCATAACTTAACGAGCACTAAAAGTGCCAATACAATGGTGATAGCTTTCATTAGGGCACATATATTCCGTAGAGGCGAAGTCTTGGATGTAAGCTGACTCTCGCGTTCGATACCCTCCCAGCCATGATCTTCAGCGTTTAAGGTTTTGAAGATCCCAAAAAAAACATTCTTCTACGACATTATATCACCATGTCACCAGGAAAGAAAACTTAGCAATTCATATTCAAAATCCGTAATTAATATTTATTATAAACAAAAGCATTATTCAATGAAATTTAATCCTTCCGTTAGATAATCTGTATCTTAGTACAAGTGGCATTAATGATTCAACAATAATTCAGTAACTAAAACTAGTCAGTTAATATTTTTACAATGGCTCAAAAATTCTTCAAAAATAATTCATTTCATAAACTATTCAGTTAATATTTTTTCTTATTGCGCAAAATTAAAAAAATAAATCTCAAAATTTCGCTAAAGTGCATTTAATAATTATAGAATAAGGCTAGGCAATGAAAAGGAATGACATTAGTAACTTGAATTAAAGTGTAATCGGCAAAAGCAAAAAATGTATTATAATAGAGTCAATATCATTGTAGTTGATGGTTAATTATATGGTCGAAAAAAATATGGGCAACAGAAGGTTAAGCTCGAAGCGCATGGGCAAATCGGAGCGCAGCGCAACCAGCTGATCAGTGAATACAATTATACATATTTGTGTACATAGATTTGATTCCGTTAAAAATCTTTTCTTTTATGTTGCTTCTGTTTCAGCTAATATTTGAGAGGGGGGTAGGTAGAATCAAAGATGATAAGCATTCACCAGACTGACACGGCCATAAACATATTGATCGGAGCTAAAGCGTAATGCGAAACAGAAAGTCGTAAAAAGCTCAGCAGGTGCGCATGTCAGCTTGGCTGTGCTTATCTGTGCCAAAATAAGAAAATATAATCAAAACAAAAGGTACAGACTTACATGTATTCCTCGATGAAAGGCCTTCCAGCGGAGAGTTTGCAGCAAATTTTATTTTTTTTCTTTCATTTGATTTCTTTTGTCTTCTGTGGGGCTTTAAATTGTTTTGATTATTTATTATGGCACAGGAGAATTTTTAAATTGTGAGTACTTAAAAGATACTCTCCGAAATTAAGTGGGAAAAATTAAAAAAAATATAAAAAAAATTCAGAAATGACTTTGGACTCTACCCCAACAAGAAGGGGGATAAATTTACACTATTAATTCTTTCTATATATATAAAGATATACATATAGATGTAAATTTTGTTTTTTTTTTCACTGCACTTGCACGAGGTTTTTAGAGGGCCCTACTAAATGCACTTTCCGCAAACTTTTGGAAGTCTCTCACAAGATTTAATTAACTATTTTTTTACTAAAAACATTTAACAGCAATTTTCATGCATCTGCACGCTCCGGCCAACTTAATGGGCGATGTCATCTGGGCTTCTGATCAGCGGCGCGTCACTGGGGCCCAAAAGGCTACTCCCTCTTCCGGATTCCAGACTGTGGAAACGGCGCCTGCCCTTTCTTGCTGGCATGAGCAAGGAAATGGCAGCTGATCCGCAGTTGAGGCTGACGTCTATTTAATGGGGGCAGTAATGACATTGCCGTCCCAAGAAATTACAGTGCCGTCCAATGGGCACACGTGGCGGTTGCCTCAAAATAAGTGGGTTTTTATGTCAGAGACGGCGGCGGCAAGATTGATTCCTCCAAAAATTACTTTCGGCAGGCAGGCAAGAACTGGTTAAACTGTGACCAGATCTTGGCACAAAGAAATATATGCCGGTGAGGTGCTGGTGGCCGGGTGGCGTAGCGAAAGGTTATCATCAAACGAACAAAAAATTTATTTCGCCAATCGGTTACTTTTAGGGTTTTTCTTTTTTTTATTTTTTTGGTTTTTGGTTCAATTTAGTTGGAATTTAAATTAAACGAATTAAACGACTGATGCCCGAACTTGTTGCTTTTAGTTTAATATTTTGGTGGGGCTATGTCCGAACCGCCGTAGCCAGACCTTCGATGGTAAAGTAATTTTTGAAAAGAAGGGTTATATCCGGGACCTACAGGCTTATATAGGGTCTCAGAGCTTTTTTCTTTCCCGGATTAGATTGAAGATAGCTGCGCTGCCAACGTGCACGCAGGCGGTTTATAGCAGCGGCAGAATCATTCGCAGCTGACCATGACAGACAAAAGCTGATCGCTATAGCGTCGTTACACAAACGCAAGCTGTTAGGATCGCTTACGCGGTTTAATTTAAATAGGAAAACTGCGACCATTACAATATGGCGACTCAAACCGTAGTTTTCTTAAGCTACATAAAGTAACCACAAAATTACAGGGTAGCGGTTATTTGGAAATGCAGCATAATTTGCGGCATGAACAACCCGCCCCCTTGCAATACTATTGCAATTGGAGGTCCTTGAAAGGGAGGGTGGGTCAGGTGTCGTGCCGGGTATCACTGGCTGCAGGTTCCGGAGAGAACCCAACCGAACATGGTGTTTGCGCCACCGGCAGACCGTCTTGGCTGGGTACCAGACCCGGGCGGATTATTTGCGGATAAAGGTCCGCACCGAGCACCAAGGACACGGTGCTGGGCCGATGGAAGTCGGCATCCCCCAGGATAATGTTTATCAATTTTTTCTGGATTAACTTTCCCCGTTTCCTAGCAGCACCAATGCAGTAGGCAATACATTGATGCTCCTGCGCTGGAGGAGAGACGACAGCGTTGTAGCTGGTGCTGCAGAATCGGGGTGCGTCGAGAGGGGCGAGCTTCCTTCTTGGCCTTCTGCACCTTACCATTCGGGGCCAGCGGCACTGGGTGTGTACCTCGCTTCTTCTCCTCTCCCTTGATATGCAGCAAACTGTGGTGGTCCTTGCCACAGGACCGGCAACGATCATGCTGCGGCACGATGACCGTGAGTGCTCATGGACCAGGCAGTTGGGGCAGTACTTATTTTTCAGTAGTGCCCGTAGACGCTTCTTAGGGCTCAAGCTCAAGAAGCGTTGGCACTTCCGCAGTGCATGCACTCCCCGGCATACCCGGCATCTGTACGACCCCACCTCACGGGGCTGTTGGCTGATGTTGTCTGGGCGTGGAGCCATGTCGCTAAAGGAGGAAAAACAAAAAGCCTTTTTTTTTTAATTTAGTTTTGTAGACATAGAGGACAACACAGGTGTTAGTTGTGAGGTCTGTATCTACGGAATCGTGGTTTGAAGACAGTGTGATGAGGGAGATAGAAGTTATTGGAGTCGTTGCTAGGAGGGACTTGTTTCATGTGATCCAAGTCCAGGCAATCCTTGATCACGGAGTCGTACTGCTCTTTTAGAGGAGTGTTTCTCATTAAACGACCTTCGTTTCTCAGAAACTGAGCAAGTGCGATGGACCTTGAATGTCCCAAGTTGATGTGATCAGGATTCTTGAAGGGCGACGTAACTATGTATCTGCCAGTCTCATCCCTTTTGGTGGTGCGAGAAATTTGTGAGAAGGTCGTCCAAAAGTGGTTCGGGGCTGACTGAAATTCTTGTGGAAAAGGACGAAATTCTCGCGGCATTGGACTTAACTACTGGGCCAGTCAGGACCCAGCCGAAAATGGTCTCCATGCCCAGTAGCGAACCGCATATGTTGGATTGCGTGCCGCCGAGGAGGATTGACGGGATAATGTCTGCTCCTGATAGCACGTCAATCTGCGAGCTAGTGTGGAATGAGGGATCAGCCAATTGAATATTGGGTAGGTCCCTCAGAATGCTGTGTGGAAGTGGATGCGAGGGCAAATTGCCAACCAAATTGGCCAAAACGAAAGCAGAGGTTTCGATTTGGATCCTCGGTTTAGTAGGGGAGCCAATCTTGAAGTGCCAATCTGTTCGGACTGGATGGAAAGGATTGATTATATTGAAAAGTCGTTCGGAGATGAACGTCGCTTCCGATCCCGAATCGATGAGTGCACGTGCTGTGTAACAAGTGCCCAAATGGCAAATGTTGATAATAGCCGTGCTTAGGAGCACACCTTGTGTGTTTGTGGCAAAGTATAGCTCTGCACATTGGAGGTGGAAGTGGATTGCGAGCTACTTTGTAGCGAGGGAACTATTACAGAGGGGGCTGGAGGAGGGCTGTCACGATGCAAGAGGGTGTTGTGGCGACCCTTGCACGTGAAACAATTATGTTGACTCGTGCAATATTTTACCTAATGCCCTTTCGCGAAACATTTTAAGCTGAGTTTTTGCTGTTTGATGAAGTTAGACCTGCCACCAACAGACATCTGCAGAAAACGGGGGCACAAGCGCACTGGATGGTTCTCCTTTGAGAAAAGTTTGCAAGACTGACCCTTTACGCTCACCTTGGCTTCAAATGAGATAATTTTCTTTGTTGGGGGATCCTTTCGAACGGATCTGGAGTGGACCTCTGCACTTGTGCTCGGCTTCATGCCCTCTATCGCCTCTAGAGTGCGATAGCGTTCTAACAAGAACGAATTTAGGTCGTTCCACATCGGGATGTCAACCTTGTTTTTCAGCGACTGTTCCCACAGCTTGGGTAGTGTAAGCTTGGGTAGCTTGGAGGCGCATGATAAACTAGAAGGCAGTCCGAGTTCACAGTGTTATACGGGAATGCTCTAGAGCTGTCAAGCAACCTAGGATGTTGCTCTGTAGGTCTTTAATAGCAGCTCCTGATTCCTGCGAAACTGACTGGAGATTAAAGAGCACGTGAAGTTGGCTGTTAACCAACAGCCTTTTGTTCTCAAATCAATCTGTTAAGTCGCTCCACGCAGATGCGAAACCATCATTTGTGAGAGGAGACTTGGACACAAAATAGTTTTTCGACCTCAGTTAACCGTGGATTGGATATATAGACACCTGTGAAAAGGTCTCGGAAAAGGCCATTTCAAATACTCCCCATAAAAAATGTCAATCTCCACGGGAGGGAGACTGCAGCCTCTTGGCTGTTGACTGGGCGCAGGAGACGTGATCAGGGCGGTTGCGCTCTCTATTTCCTCATTAAGACTAGAGGCACAGCGCTCATAGACAAAGTAGCAGTGGTCATATTTAGCTTGCATAGCTTGCATATCTTCCACAATCGACTCGTCTTGGCTGAGAGCACGAACTTGGTCTTCAACGGACTTGAAGAGTGTGGAGCGACACTACAAGGTGCGGAGACGAGTTAATTCTTGCCTCGAACTGACTGAGTCTGTCAGCCACGGCAACATAAGTAATTGACGGAACATAAGGCATAACGGGCTTCTAATGAGCCTCGTACTTGGATGGCAGCGGAGAGGCAGAAAGAATAATTTCTTAATTTAATAAAAATGGAACAATGGAATTGGTCCAATTGGGATGCTGTGGGTTTTTTTTTTAAAGAAACCAATTACAAACACACAAAAAAATCAAATAAGATGTATGTATTTTTAATTATATTTATTTAATGAAATTAATTGGAACGATGGAATAGATCCAATTTAGATGAGGTGTTTTTTTTTTATAAAAGAAACCAATTACAAACCAAAATAAGAAAAAAAAACAAATAAAAAATATTTCTTTATTTAAATTAATTGAATTAAATTAATTGGAACAATGGAACCGATCCAATTTGGATGAAGTGTTTTTTTTATAAAAAAACTAATTACAAAACAAAAAAATATTTATTTATTTAAATTAATTGAATGAATTTAATTGGAACGATGGAATCGGTCCAATTTGATTGAGGTGGTCTACAATTTCTTTTATTTTAAAAAGACCATGGACAAACAGAAACAAAAAAGACAAATAATGATATTTTTTTTGTTTTCTTTTAATGAATCAAATGAGATTAATTCGGAAAATTGCATGCACAAATATTTTTAAAAGTTATATTAATAAATGAAGGAAATTAAAAACACAAAAATTGTGTGTATAAGTAATTTAATATGTCGTCCAATGCGGATGTGGATGCGACTTGAATAATTGTTTGTTCGATTACAAATAATTTGTCACGACCCAAGTGTTACGAGTACCATGGAACGGGTACCTTGTCACCCTGTGTTGGACTTCACCTTGTTTATAGTTTTAGAGTTAATTTTGTTTATTGTTTCATTAACAAAAAAAAAAAAAATAACCAAATCTGCTAATTTAACTGCAAGTAATTCCCGTAACAGTTGTGTTCTGTTGCTTCGTCTCAGTTTGAAGGACCCAACATATAGATTGTTTTTGTTTTGATACGTGTTTTTTCTTTATGTTCTGATTTATTAATTTGGAAGGCACTAACATACAATAACTTATTTCGAGTGCTTATTATATTAGACGTGTGTTTTATCACTTATAGACATGTTGGATATCGGCTGCGCCATGTGCGGAGCCCCAAACTGCCCGTAGATATTTTAATTGAATTCAACCTAACTTTTATATTAAGTCAATTGACCTACACAGAGCATACGTCCGGTTACTTGGACTGACGCTCACAGACTTCGAATAGAATTACAATGCGTCACTCAATGCGGCTGATCTACGCATAGATGCATTTTCGTTACTTGCTCTTTTCATGCGCTCTTATAATATACGCTCTTCGGCCGCTGCGATTGCTCTTGCGGGTTAGCTGTATGTAGGTACATACATACATACATACAGTGCCAAGATGGAGGATGATGAGATTTTTTTTTTTAAATAAAATCACTTGTGCGGTAAACTATGTATATATTTTGGTGATTTTTCCTTTTTTCTACACAATTGGATAGGGTTTGTATTTGGGTTTTGTCACTTTTAATAATAAGACAGTTTTTGTGCGGTTGATCCGCTTCACTCTTTTATTTCGAGTATACTTGGTTACAAAATATGGCGACTCAAAGCGTAGTTTTCTTAAGCTACATAAATGAGATTGGAAGTAGCCACAAAACTACAGGGTAG